TAAAGGGAATTCCATTCCCTGATAGAAACAGAGTAAAACCTGGACATCGTTTCCTCAACCTTCATGACAGGATTCATCGTGCAATGTGTAGCGCTTTCGGTTGTTTCCAACTAAAATGATTAGGTGGAACTCCGTAAATATTTTCTTTAGTTTTAAAGGCTGGAGAACATTTCCTAAGTCGGTGCTTACTGTTCTGGAAGGAATGGTGAGGCGGGGGGAGGAGGAGTCAGGAGAGTGGGAAGAAAAGAAAGTGAAGAGTCCATAGAAGTTCAGAATGCCGGCAGCTCTGCGATTGCACCTTCCATCTACCTGCCGTCCCGAGGAAGACTCACACAGCCCTGATCAGAAAAGTCAGCTAAGACTGACTGCACTTCTAGTCACAATGACTTTTGCAAGACTTCTTTTCTTTTAGTGTTAGAATAGACTGGGAATGGAAATCCCTTTGAGGGTGGTATTAAACTTTACCTGGTTATTGGACATGGAGGAACAATCAAATGTCTGTGATATAAACTTACATTTGCCATTGGTTACAATCAAATGTTAAGGTTTATGTAAGCAAATAGCCAGGTTAGTCCATGAGTCAACAAATGTCTTTCTCTGGGCAAAATTTGGGCTGCCACATATTTTTGTGAGAAAAAAAAGTTTTGTTAAAACCGTGGTCCTCATACTTATCTGTTTGCTCATTGTCCAGGGTGGTTTCAGTCTACAAAAGCACACTTGGCTAGTTGCCACAGAAATAATGTGGTTATCAGATCCTGAAATCTTTACACATAGTTCAAAAAGAATGCATTGAAACACAACTAAATACATGATGTTTCCTTTCTACATAAAATTTAGGAGTTCATCCATTCATTTGAAACTATTTATTGAGCATCTAGATTGTCCTTTTACTCTCTCATAGACCTCAGGGATACAGCGATGAAGAAAGCAAGCTCCCACACTTAGGAAGCTTGCATTATAGCCCGGAGAGAGATCGAAAATAAAAATGCTCATATCGCACATGGAGATAACACCTTTAAGATGATATAAATCAATATCGGAAGTAAATAGAAGCCTGTTTTTGGTAGAGGGGTGGGGCTTTGCTGTTGTGACATTTCAGTAGAAACCAAAAACGTTTCTCTTCAAAATTCTGCATCTTCTCAGCCCGGTAAGACTCCAGTCAGATCCCAGAGTTGAGAGTACTTCCACTTGAGAATGTTTCTTTTCTCCTCTCACTTTTAACTTGAGGTCTACCTAGTGGTCCTTTGTTGGCATTTGAGATCTTCCCCCTCATAGACCTCTGTAAGGTCTGGATAGGATGAAGCCCCCCCCCCCCCCCCCCTTTGGTATTTGAGACAGGCTTTCTTAAGTGTTTGTCTTGTCCTTGAAAGCTGGGACATAGTGCTCCCTTACTGGTGGTTGTTGGCTCTTGTTGAGCCAGTCCTGATTGATGGCGAATCCAGGGCAGCAGAAATAAATGCTGCCTTGTTCTACACCATTTCCGTGGTCAGTTGGGGATAAACCAGTTGTCAGTTACAGGATTTTCATTGGCTGATTTTCAGATGTAGATGACCATTTAGTCTGCTAGCCCATTTAGTCTGAAAACTGTTAATGCCTATTCAATGTCCTAGCAACATGGAATCTATCCCCAGCAGACGTGTAGTAGGTGTGCATGAGGAAGACTGGCTAGGAATGGAATACAGGCTTCGTGCACAGAGGGGAAGAATCTACTCATTAATGCCTCCTGGCTCCCTAAATGATACTATAGGTGTTTATTAGTAATCATCAAAGAGGAAAGGTTTAGGATGAGTGGTGAGGAAGACATTCACAAGATAAATAACTCTAGTTAACCTCGGTAGGAAAAAAATCTCCACCCTTGTTCCCTTGCCCTGTCCCAGTATTCACCTTCTTTAACTCAATCATCCTCCTAAGAATCCATTCTTGAAAGAAAGAAGATTCATGATAATAGGAAAAGATGAAGGTGCTCCTTATAGAATTAGTTGAATGACAACTTTTATAAATATGCCTGTTTGGTTGTTGGTGATTAATGGTTAAAATAATTATGAAACTTTTACCTCTAAAATTTTATATAATTATTAAAGCTGTGACATAAAAGCTCACTATATAGGGAGAGCTCACTAGATAGATAGATGATAGATAGATAGATAGATAGACCTTGAAAATATCATGCTATTCTGTGATGTTCATCTTCCCAACACAATCACTGAAGATAAAACGGGCGCATAAAAAAATTTGGTGAAGAAAGCTGATGGTGCCCGGCTATCAAAAGATACAGTGTCTGGGGTCTTAAAGGGTTGAAGATAAATAAGCGGCCATCTCCCTGAGAAGCAACAAAGCCCACATGGAAGAATCACACCAGTTTATGTGATCATGGGATGTTGATGGGATCAGGTATGAGGCACCAAAGACCCAGAACAAAAAATCATATAATTGTGAATGAGGGGGAGTGGAGACCCATAGCCCATCTGTAGACAATTGGACATCCCCTTACAGAAGGGTCACAAGGAAGAGACATGCCAGTTAGGGTGCAGTATAGCACCAAGGAAACATACAACTTTCCTCTAGTTCACTAATTCCCCACCCCCACCCCCCACCATCATGACACCAATTCTACCCTACAAATCCTGCTAGACCAGAGCATGTACACGGGTACAGATAAGACCTCGCAACACAGGGAATCCAGGACCGATAAACCCCTCAGGACCAATAATGAGAGTAGAGATACCAGGAGAGTAAGGAGAAGGTGGGGGAGAGAGGGGGAACCGATCACAATGATCTACATATAACCCTTTCCCAGGGGGACAGAAAACAGAAAAGTGGGTGGAGGGAGACATCGGTCAGTGTAAGCCATGAAAAAGTCATAGTAATTTATAAATTATCAAGGGTTCATGAGGGAGGGAAGGTGAGGGAGAGAGAGAAAAAAATGAGCTGATACCAAGGATTCAAGTAGAAAGAAAATGTTTTGAAAATGAAGATGTCAACAAATGTACAAATGTGCTTGACACAATGGATGGTTGCCTGGATTGCGGTAAGAGTTTATGAGCCCCCAATAAAATGATTTTAAAAAAATAAGAAGAAGCCAGACAAAAAAGGCCCCATAGTGAATGACTGCATTTATATAAAGTGTTCAGAAGTGGCAAGTGTAGAGACTCAAACCATATTCGTTCGTGGTTGTGCATGGGAGGGAGGTATAGCTGAGGGTGTAAGAAGGGAACGTGGCTGGTATGGCGTTTCCTTTTGGGATGCTTAAACCACTCTAGCTGACACTGTGATGGTGTTTGTACAAGTCTGCGAATATACTAAAAATAGTGAAATGTACCGTAAATGCGCAAAGAATACCTCAATCAAAATATTAAAACTTGCGTATATTACATGTGTGTGTGTGCATATATATCTGTTACAAAAAGACATGAGAAACAGATTAACAGGAAACGTATCAGTAGTTTGAGTCAGAGGGCGAATTTATGGGTGAAATGTTTTGCCTTCTTTTATTGTCCAAAAGGACCCCTCGTGCCGCTGTGGGTTAGACATTGGGCCGCTAGCTCCCTGGGCAGAAATTCAACCCCATTCGCTGCTACTGAGGAGAAGGATGAGGCTTTCCGTCCCCATAAAGATTTGGTTTCAGAAACCATACACGAGGTCACGGAGTCAGCATGACTTCATGAGAGGGTGCCTTTTGCTCTTCTCATTGCCCTTATTTTTAATAATGTGATTAGATGCCTTCCAAGAGAAAACAAGTATCCTTAACAAGTGGAAGGACCGTTCTCCAAAATGGAAGGGCCCGCCCCCAAATCCAGCTTGATGCCTTGCAGAGCCAGTGTGCACCTCTGCGGTTCACCCGCAGGTTCACTCCCGCGCGGTCACCGCAGCTTGTGGGTGCAGTTCTGCGGATCAGAAGGGCAACCACAAGACGAGAGGTGGCCTCACAGACAAAGCTGTGCAGTGAGAAGTCTGGCCTATTGAATATGTGCTTCTCTGCTCTCATTTTTAGGAAGTGATCGAAGCAATCGCTGAGTGTGCATTTAAGACTTCACCCTTTCCAATCCTCCTTTCCTTTGAGAATCACGTGGATTCGTAAGTAATACATTCAGCAGAGAGTCTTTTACCAGAATTAGGCATGTTTAATCATTTTTCCTCAGATTTAAGCTTATTTGACACTATTACGAGTATAGTTCAATCGTGTGATATATATAATGTGGCATGTTTTAGTTGTAGATGATGGAATTCGTTCATTTACTTCTCATTAACTTTCAAGTAATCCATTGGAATTGGGAAATCTATTTTCATGTCATAGTATGAGTTTTCAATTACTTGCACTCTCTATCTTAACAGTGCAGTGGAATGCATTTCCTTCCATAAGGCATGTCTCTATTATAGACTTTTAGTGCATTGGGTCACTTTTATAATTCTCCTTCATTAGCGCTTTCTATTGCATGCAAATTTTATAGTCAGTTTTGCAACATGCAGGCAGCCAACGCCTCACACCCTGGGCTGGCGGTGGGAGAGCTCTAAATGCTGCTCTGCTCTTTGGGCTTACCCAGAACTCCCATTGCCACGCGCTCTGTCCTGCCCCTGTCCACTGGTTCCCCTGTTGGCAAATCTTTCTCAATGTGTTCCTGTTTCACCACCGACGGCACTTACTGCAGAGTGACATGAAGAAAAGGTACTTTGGCATAAATGTGCTACGAAGTACTGGATATCAATTTATCATCGAGTTCTTCAACGTAAGGGACCTTAAAGGCAACTATTCTCCCCTGGAACTAAAATTGTAGCCCCTGAGATCCGTGTCAGAAGACTACGTGGGATGGTGAGGGGTGCCTGAGAATAGCACCGCTCCCTTTCATTTCACGGATCGGCCAGATTTCTCAACTAAAAGCCAACCGCCCCTGACCTAATTTGGCTCACAAGTTCCTGCGTCCTCTCCTTCTAATTGACAGAGTCATTCTTGGGTCACTGCTTCTGTTTGTCCAACTCATTTGCCACGTGAGCTTCAATTCACTGATTCGTAAAGAACGAGTGTCGTCACCACCCAGTGTCAGCTGAAATGTGAACATGTGTTCGTGTGAAGAGAGACCTTCAGTTGAAGTCCCCCAGTTTATAAGTCTCTGTGTCTCGTTTGCCTCTGGAAATCCATTTTAGGTCCTGATGCTGTGCCACTCCATAACAGTCATCCAAGGACTGACCCGTCCCTTGACAGACACTTTTTCTAACTCTTTGGAGGGCCCCGGGGGTGCAGGGGCGGGGGTGAGAAGAATTTATTCTGTGCCCTGGCCACTTCTCTTCGGACTTACAGGGGCGCCTCTCTTCTCACTGGATGCAAGATGCAGCCTGCTCCAAAGGAGGTCTGGTGGCAGGGTGGGGTTAAACACACTGGTGCTACTGTGAGATTGAAGGTTCAAACTGACCAGCTGCTCTGTGGAGAAAGACAAGCCTTTCTGTTCTGTTAATCCGTCTTGGGACCATAAGGAGCAGTTCCACTCTGCCCCCTGGGGTCTCTAAGAGACAGCATTGTCTCTACAGCAGCGCATAGGAGGTCTGCCCTGAGGCCTCTCCTTGGGGACCTTCTCTTTTCGTGCCATCCATTTGTCCTGGGGCACTGCTGACACTTGTTGATGGGTTACTTCCTGTCCAAAGAGAAGGCTTCTGACTTACTACATTTCCTAACATTTCTATTTCAGTGAGACCAAATTTAAAAGTGCTCTCTCCTTTGGTTGTGATCTCACCCCAGACCTTGAACTCTCCCAGAAATGCCAGACCGGTGTCAGTCACACCCACCATAAGCACAATAGCTAGTAGTTAGGAACTCAGCAGAGGACAAACTGTTAGCTCACTCAACTGCTAGCCAGATGTTAGAGGTAAGCTGTGATGAACATAACAGCTACTATTTATGGGGAACCTATTACATAATGAAAAGAGCCCGCCCTGGTGGCGTAGAGGTTACGCATCTGGCTGCTAATGGCAAGATCAGCAGTTCAAAGCCACCAGCTGCTCCTCAAGAGAAAGTTGGAAACCCACAGAGGCCGCTCTACACTGTCCCCATCAGAATGCTGGGAGTCAGAACTGACTCGATGGCGGGGAGTATGATGACATGAGTGTGCTCCAGGTCTCTTACACGCGCCTGCATTTGTACCAGGAGCCCTGGTGGCGCACTGGATTAAGTGCGGGGCTGCGAACCACCAAGGCAGCATTCCAAACCCACCAGCAACTCCTTGGGAAAAAGGAAGTCCGTCTGCTCCTGTTAAGAGTCGCAGTCTCAGAAGCCCCAGGGAGCAATTCTGCTCTGTCCTGTAGGGGCACGATGAGTAGGAATTGACTTAAAGGCTGTCGGTTTTAGGCTCACAGAATCCTCACCACAAACTCAGGGGTTCCCAAAAGTACATATTATGATCATCCTTATTTTACAGAGGGTGAAACTAAGTCCCAGAGGCTGAGTAACGTTCTCAAAGCCATCCGGCTAAAACAGGGCAGAGCTGAGAGACAAGGGTCTCAAAATGCATGCTTTTCCCAACATCATCGCCCCACACCTCAGCAAGACCATCTTCAGCCTTCCAAGCGTGACGTGAAGGCCACCAGTGGCGGCCCCCAGGCAGCTGCCTTTCTGTGCCTTGTGACCCCAACCACAGGATGCCTTCTTTGTCGTCTTTAACATCCAAATCTGGGCGTCGAAGCTCAGTTCTACCTTGAACACAAAAGCCAGAAAACTGCCTTTCTGGTTGAAAAGAATACTTCTCTAGCTATTAAAATTTGATTAGTAACCCTTATGCAACCAAAGAAAACAGGAAAACGTGTTTTCCAGGGCTCACACGTTTATCCTAAAGCATTGCAATAATTTAGTGGCAGAGAAACAAACCTACCCAAAGAAAGCCGTTTGCTAGTAATCCCGAGCCTTGCTGCCTTGCCCATTCCAAAACCATGGCAGGCATCATTCATCAGTCCTAGCATCCGTGCCCACTACGCCTGGAGGCAACATCAGCTAGAAACCTTCTCAATGCATCGCCAAAGCCACGTGCCCATCTCCGTGGAGCTGTGTTCCTCTCCTCTGTGCCACCTCTCCAAATGGACAGATTCAAAAGCAACAACACCACATGAAATGCATGTTTGAAGAGTGGGGGCAGAGGACAATCTGTGAGTTTTCTCTCCACCTGTTTGAAAGAAACTATGCAGAGATGCAGGAGCCCTCTTGGTGTTGGGGTTATACATTGGCCGCAATCCGCATGGTCGGCAGTTTGAAACCACCAGCAGCTCTGTGGGAGAAAGACTGGGCTTTCTACTCCGTAAACGCTTACATTCTCAGAAACCCACAGGGGGTCACTGTGACAGCATGGACTCCATGGGAATGCCTTTGTTTTTGGAATCAGAGATGCTGGTGAGAAATCAGCCACTAGCTGTGTCCAACGGGTCCTAAGATGAGAGAGAGCTGAATAGAAACAGTGGTTTGTCAGTGCCCTTCTACACCTTCCACATCGGGAGCTCCTAGAGTGCTTCTAGAATTAAGATTCTCACACCCTCCAACGCTGCTATTGAATCTTGGGAAAGGAGACTTGGAAATCCTTTATAAATAATCAGTTGACTGTGGTGTACTAGGTACTTTGGCAGCTAAATTCAGTGCCATGGGTCGAGTCCAACTCATAGTGAGGCCGCAGCACAGAATAGAATTGCCTCTTCAGGTTTCTGAGACTTTAAACCTTTTCAAACTGCCGATCTTGGGGTTAGACGTTCAATGTGTAATCCACTAGCCACCAGACCTCCTTATTTAGCAGCTGCAAGTCCAGGGTCCATTCAGCAGGACTAGTAGAAACCTTGGCTCAACCACTATACGGTTTTTTAACCATCTTGAATTTCTATTGACTGCTGATACTTCATCTGTAGAACAGGAGGCTGGCTTAGTTCCACTCGCTGGCCCCTTCTCTTGACATAGGGAAGTTTATAATTGCATCCCATGAAATAAGATCCATCTCATTATGGGGAAACTGACTTTTGATGAAGGTGATTCTGACGCATGGTGACTTCCTGTGGCTCAGAGTGGAGCCGTGTGTCATAAGATTCTCATTGCGTGGATTCTTCTGAGTGGACTTTCTTAGGAGGTCCCTCTGGGGTGGACTTGAACCTCCAGTCTTTTTTGCCAGCAGCCAAGCCACGGTCTGAAGCTAAAAATGTATTGAGGATTTCCTCCGGCCCCTCTCAATTATAGCCATGGTAGCAGACATTGATGCTGCTAAATGCTTCTGGAATTTGTTTAGATTTGGTTTGCTGCTTGCAATTTTAATACAATGTTATCGCTGATTTTTATTCCAGCGATACAGACCCTCGGTTACAGTAACTGTATTTCCCTCTGCCTACTTCTGCTCAGTGGGCCCTTGATTTTGACTCACTTCTCTATCAGGTGAGCATGTGGTCTTGTGGAGAGCATGAAGGATTGGATCGGGTCACAAAATGACCCATGTTCAATTTTTCTTGGGCATCTACCTCTTGTTCTTCCCACCACCAGTCATCAGCTGTTTTGGCCCCAGTTTTAAGAAGTTTAAGTCAACCTGGGATCCTTACTCCTCAACATGTGTTCATTGCAGCAGCAGTCTCTACATCCCTGGGGAAGTTGTTGGAAAGGCAGAAAGACTCAAGCCCCATCGCAGGCACAGTATCTGAATCATTACTTAGCCGGAGACTCCAGGTGAACCACAGACTGTCACTCTTGCAGAAAACACTGTCTCAGGACGACCGCCACATTGGCTTAGTTATAATGCAGATTTCAGGGCTCCCCCCATCAAGCAGTGAATCCGAATCTTGGGGACTCCACCCTGTCACTGCATCCCGGACAGATGAGGTGATTCGCTGGGGAGAATCCTGGCTCTAGCAAATACTTCTGAGGGTCTGGGTTGGGGAATGCTGGGCAGAGGGCTCCTCCTGTCCCTTGCTTTGGTAGAAAATCCCCCCTAAGCTCTTCTGCTGTTGAGACATGGGGGGCCAGGGGAATTCCAGAAGCTGAGCACTAGGGTCAATTGAGGACTAGGGTCAAAACTACCCCTCCACTCCCGGTCTCTGATCAAAGGGACTCGCTTCAGACTTGAGAACCCCAAGTTATAGCATCTCAAATTTGGGCATGCATCAGAATGATCTCGATTGAAGTATTGAATTGTATGTCCTGTGAAATACAGGCCAGTAAAGCTGTTATTGTTGTTTGTATAGACTTACCTAGATGGCTGGTGAAGACATGGATTCCTAGGCCCCAGGACCCCAGAGATGCTGATTAGAAATCTGCATCAGAGGTCATATGTTTCAAACAGAGTCCAGGTGATTTGGTATTACTGGTCCATGGGCCATAGCTGGAGCAGCAAGGTACTATGGTACTTCACCTGGCCAATCCGTAGTATTTGTGTCAGGTTTGGACAAGTTCTTTGGTGCTGCTTGCCGCTAATGGACTTGTCCTTGCCTATGGTCAATCAGAGAGCAGACTGACTTGTACAAGTTGTCGCTAGAGCAAGGACATCTGAACTTGAGCATGCCCGGTGCTGTGCCCTGCCCATCGGCCACTCAACCCTGCTCCCCAGGGTCTCATCAACACATTTCCTAGCAGGCTGTCCTTAAGTGACCACTCTAGCGCTTTTCAGGATTGGTCCTCGACTCAAGCATTCCCTCTCTCAGGCACTACTGAGGAGAGCTGCAGAATAGGCTGGGGGCTGCAGAAATCACAGAGGAGAGCCTCATACTTGTGGAAGGATTTGCTCTCAGAAGGTGTGAGGTTGTGAAGAGGAGTTTGCAAACTCTGAGCATCTCCCCTGTGCCTCTCCCCACAGCCGCAAAAGAAGCCAGCTCCTCGGAGAACTCGCAGAGCCATCAAAGTGCATGCTTGGTTTGTAGAGAGAAAGCAGACAGGCTCTAAAGTGTTTTTCCCAGAGGACGACTGCTTAATGATTTGAACTCCCAAAGTTCCGACACCCTGCCACCCATATGCACCCACCAAGAAAAACCAGCCGATTGTCCAGACTGAGCAGTCACAGAAGAGAGACTGAAACGAGGAGCCCGTTTTATTACGGGCTTTGAGTCATCTGTAAAGAACGCTTTTGTCCCTGTATGTATCGTTAGCACAGCCCCAGTCCCTTGTCTGCATGCAGAGATATGATTAGAAATCAAGTTGGACAGTCTGTAGATCAAAATCAACACCCATAAAACCCAACGGAATTGACTAACTCCATAACAATATTGAACATGCTGCCAAATGAGAAAAAGATTCTATATTTTTTTTAAGGTCAAGGAAACCAGGAGAATTGCCAGAATATGGATGTCCACGTGATCAGCTGGGTTTCCACATTGCCGGGTGTGCCAGTTGTCTATTCTGGCTGGCAGATGCCCCCTTTCAAGCCCTGGCATCGTCTGCCCTTTGCTCTGCTCTTTCAATATTTAAAGCACCCTTGCATCATGAGGTCAGGCCGTCTTCTCAGCATGCTTTGTCTCTCCAAGAACAGTGAGGATTCTCCCAGATTGGAGAGAGGCACCGTGGCCCAGAGCCTCGGGAACATGGGTGCTCTGCCTTTTTCCATCAGATCACGTTCCTATCGGCAATATACCTAGGCTCTGACCTCCTTAGCTTCCCATGCTGCACAGAAAACGTGCCAATGCCCTCTCCCGAGAGGCCAATTCCTTTTTACCCTTCCTCCAAGACCCCCCTCAGCTAGTGCACACACTACCAGCCCTTTTCCACATTGTGAAATATTTAATGTTCCACCTCCTCTCCTCCTCTCTCCCTCACCTCTTTCCTTATAAACAATCCTTTACAATGAAAAAAAAAATTGCCATGAGCCCATTCCAACTCCAGCACCAAGTAGGATCTACTTCTTAGGGTTTCTGAGATTATATATCTTTATGGGAGCAAATAACCTCATCTTTGTCCCATCGAGTGGCTGGTGGGTTTGAAGCACCGACCTTGGGGCTAGAAGCCCAATGTCTAACTCACAGCTTCACTCTGGCTCCTCACGGCAACTCAACTCTCTCTGGATGTGGATGGAGGCTTGACTCAGGAACTCCTGTGGAGCCATGCTTCCTTCTCCAGGGCCTTGCCTTGGACATGCAGTCAGGGAATGAAATCATCTAGGCAGTGCCAGGCCAAGGGGCTGCTGTCCCCTCTGCCTGTGTGTGTGGGGGCGTCCATCTCTGGAAAGGACCTTGTGCCCACTGCTTTCACCATCGAGCTGTATTTGTGACTCAGATTCTCCAGAGGCAAGCCCACTATCAGGAGGGTTAGAAGGAAGGAGACCGCAGGGACTGACTGGTAACCAGAGGAAGACTCACAGCTTGTTTTCTGAACTTCTTGTTTTCCCTCAGCCCCAAGCAGCAGGCCAAGATGGCAGAGTACTGCCGACTGATATTTGGGGATGCCCTTCTCATGGAACCACTGGAAAAGTACCCAGTAAGTAGAGTTGACACTGGCCCTGCAAGGGATAAACAGGCACACCGTGTACGGTGGGGTGGGGCAAGAGACTTCCTGAGGTGCCTCAAAAGGTTTGCACCAGAACTCCCACCCTCAAGGTTGATGGTTGCAACTCACCTAGCAGAGCCCAAAGAAACAGACCTCCATCAAGAAAGCCCCAGGGAGGGGCTCTGCTCGTGTGGTACATGGGGTTGCCGTGGCAATGGGTTGGGCTTCGGTAGGTTAGAAATGATGAGCGGACTGTCTTCTTCCCTTTCCTTATTTGTGGTTCTTGAGGATGTGGACGTGGCCGGTAATGAGCTGGTTGACCAGGAGGGAGATTGCTAGCCAAGCATTTCCTTTTCTTCCCAATCTTCTCCCTGGCAAGACGTGACTCCTTCAGGAGGGCAGAATGCCCAGCCATTACAAGCCACTCAGACACAGTCCAGAGTGGACAGAACTCTGACGTTATCACTCCTCCTCCCATCCTGTCCTTTGAGAGAAATGGACAGCAAATGGGGACACTGCAGGCAGGCCGTCTGTACGGGCTGCCAACTTCCCTTTCAGGAAATGCAGGTTCAGCGACTGGGGCCTACAGTTGCCGGCTGTGGCACAGGCCTGTGTTCACAGGAAGCAGCAGGGATGTGTCCCAAAGTAGCTTCTTCCCTCTTCTTGCGCTGTGTCCTGTCTCCACACTTGCTTACGTGAGTTCACACCAGTCCCCAGACTCATTGCAAGCACAGAAGAGGATTAACCTATGGGAATCCAATAGAGTCTCTAAAATGCCCTGACCTGTGGCTGGCACACGTGTGGACAATTTTCTCATTAGCCATGCAAGCTTAAAGCACTGGGCATCAGGCCTGCCTGCAATTGATGGTGGTGTGAAGCCCTGGCCTGGCAGAAAATGTGGAGCTACTTATGACCCCAAAGAACTCTGCAGCTACGCCCCTTAGTGCTTGGATAGAGGTTTCTCCAGTTGTTTTGTTTTATTTTTGTTTCTTGGCTGTTTTCTCTTTTTTAAATCATTTTATTGAGGGCTCGTACAACTCTTATCACAATCCATACACACACCCATTGTATGTCAAGCACATTTGTACATTTGTT